TAAAACACCTGCTTCTACTGAATGTTGATCATGTATCCCATCATCCTTGACAATTTCAAGTACTTCGATCACAGAAGCATACATTTTTCTTAGACTGATTAATGTTTGAAAATGCGAGCTCCAACGAGTGTCACCAGCACGATGCAAGTTAGTTTCTTGATTCAAACCTCGACCACTAATTAACTCTCCACTTGTTAAATGAAAAACTATTTTATCATGTTGAATAGCTTTTAGGGTATCGTTTCTCTTACATGAAGCTCCAACTGTATTGACAATCCTTGAAGTGATCTCAAACAAATGTTTTACTTGCCAATGATTTTTTGCAATAGAAACCAAACATAATTGAAGCTGATGAGCAAAACAATGAATATAGATTGCCTGAGGATTATCTTTCAGAATTAATGCTTTCAAACCATTAAACTCACCCCTCATATTAGATGCTCCATCATAGCCTTGTCCACGTATTCTGTATATGCTTAATGAATGTTTTGCAAGAACCGCTTCAATTGATGCCTTGAGTGCTAATGCGTTTGTTGAAGATACATGACAAATACCAATGAATCTCTCAATTACCTGGCCCAATTTGTCTACATATCTTACTGCAATAGCTAATTGTTCTTTCATAGAAACATCGCGAGACTCATCAACTAGAATAGTGAAGTAAGAATCATCCAAATCTTTCATGATTACAGCCAAGGTTTCAGCAGCCATAACACTGCAAATCTCTTTTTGTACTTTTGGTGCAATCAACTTTAACTTCGCACTTGCATTTTCAAATGTCACCTTTTTAATCTCTTCATTATGATCTGCAAGAAATTGAAATAATTTTATGTAATTTCCTTGATTATTCGAGCTAGATGACTCATCATGCCCACGAAAAGATAGCCCTTGGCGAATGAGGAATCGTACACAATCAACAGCTGCAGTTAACATGATGCGATATTCCTTTTTATTCTTGTCTTCCTTGCTCGACCATAAATCAGGAATGCTCTCCTCTTGATGCTTCATTAAAGACTCACATTTCTGTCTTGCCTTGTTGTGTGCACTGTTGTGATCTCCAACATGACTCAACAGCTTCTCTTTATGCTTCCAGTTCTTAAAACCCTCACCAACAAATATATCTCCACTACCTCGGCTAGTATTAACTTGCTCTTGAGGCTTAAACAAGTAGCAATAAAGACAAAATACTGCATCTTTCTGTATACTATATTCAATCCAATCAGGAAAGTCTTCAAACTATTTTGAATTAAATCTACGTGCAATATTTCCTATCCTTGTTTGAG